ACTTGGAACGGGCAGAATACTATGATATCATATCAGTGCTACAATCCCTCATATTATGTATGTTCCAACAACATACTTTGCGAGTACCCCTCTCGATCATGCAATCAACAATGTCTTCGATACAACCAAATATGTGTTAATAATATGACAATATGTAACACTACAGGCCGGTATTATAATTACCAAACAAATCAAATTCAGTCATGCGATGGAGTGTGTTATAATTCCGAAGTTCAAATATGTACCAATGATACTGTTCAGTGCATTAATAACTGTTCCGATGTATGCTACAATTCATCATCACACCAGTGTTTAAATGGAACTTTGTGTAGCCTTACTGACAAGTTGTGTAATGTGAAATACGATACTTATATCAGACCGAATACTCTGCCATCCTATAAGTGTTACAATCCTATATACCAAGCATGTTCCAATAACATGATTTGCGAGCATCCCTCTCGATCATGCAATCAACAATGTCTTCTGTTCAACCAAATATGTGTTAATAATATGACAATATGTAATGTTACGCTTTCGTATTATAGCTATCAGCCGAATCAAATTCAATTATGCGACGATGTGTGTTATGATACTGCCATTCAACAATGCGCTCAACGATATATAACAATAAACTCCACGTCGACCCGTTCACCAGTGATAATCACAACAACATCTATCACGTTTGATTATCATTCATTTATGACAACGTTGGTTCGTTCGGTATGGTCGAATAAATTTGCAATTCACTGTTATATATGGATCGCCTTTGGTCTCGTACTTTTTGGTATACTTCGATTATTTACATCGTTCTCGACTAAAACCGAAAAATTGAGTTTCTCGGATTTCGATCAAATTCATATGATCAAAAGCGATCAGATTTAATCGATAAACTTCATGCTTATCAGTTTAATTTAAGATTGTCTAATGTTACAAAATCATCGAAATTGCCGACGCTATACACTACCTGATTTGAAAATCAAACTTTTTCAGTTTCTCGTATTGGAACATTTTTGAACTATTTGACAATAGAGTCGGTTAACTCACAGACTCTTTTCGCTCTTGACTAGAATTATCTAGTTAAAATCATCGGGCATAAACAGAAAATTGTGTAACTAATCATATTTGTTAATTACTAATCGATATGATCGTAGTCGATGATTGAATTCTCTATTTCTACCAGTAGTTCTAGTAAGTATGTAATAGAAAAAAAAGTCAGACTCTCATCGAGTCCCTTGCAGATAAATTTTGTTTTGTATCTGTTTGATTATATAATTATGACATAATTGTTCATATTCAATCGTTGTTGTCGACTGATCGATGATACTCTCTTTCATAGGTAAAATTCCAAGACGTAATGATGAAAGTTTAAGAATATATTTGATATTTTTCATTAAAATAAATTGTAGAAATTCTTTTGGACAGATTTGATAACCAACGAAGAATGTCTGTTTGTTTAATAGATAAATATTTTGATTCGATCATTATTAAAGATGAAACTATTAATGAATCTAGATTAGGTAAACATTCCATAAGATTAATTAATAAATCAATATAAATCTCAGAATGTTTGACAACGGTTAATTGATTAGTTTCAGTAGGAACTATTGAAAACAAAACAGGTTCATTGTTTTCATTAAACGAAACATTTTGATCAATATCAGTAATTAATTTTTTGTTATTATTTTTACTTTCCATTGAAGCTGCCCTCCGAAAAAAAAGTCTCTTGTCAAAATACCTATCTGAAAAGATCGAATAAACGATAGTATTCATCGATCAATCATCTACATCAATGTAAACTCTGAAATACCATTGTCGTTTTGTCCAAAATGATGAATAAAATCGATTGATTTTTTCATGATATGACGTAATCTTTTTGAAATCAATCGTTTCCATCGATCAACATCAAAATGTATATAACATGTAGCAATAGAAATATAAATCAAACTTAATATCACATGTTTTTAATATTTTTCATTTGACGCACAGAGTTTTTGACAAGTCAAACGAGAAATTTGAGGTGTATATGAAAGTAGTGTTATTTGTTCATGTAACTCACATCCATCATCAATAACTAAATATTGAATATTACTTAATTATGTGTTCGTAGCAATTGAGAGAGGAACGTCTAAAGCATGTCGGATAAATGATAATTTATTGTATTTTAACATAGGTAATTTAAAAATTATTCGATATACGTTGTCGACATCATTATAACAGATAGTCAATAATGATAGATGAGTTAAAGATAATAAACTGGTAAGAATATGTATCAGTTGATTCGAATAGATATTGTATAATCGAAGTGATTCAAGACGAGTAAACGAGGCATCAATGTCAAATAGATTTAAATGATATGTCTGATTCAAGGCCAAATGAATATTTAGATTCGAAAATGCATTATATAATTCACATCCATCGAAATAATCAAGAATTTCATGGAAAGGTTCATTTGCTAAATTTTCGATGTACGTAATTGTTTTTCTATGAAGAAAATATTAATGAATATTCAAATAATACGAAATTGATCTCATTCTTTCTTACTTTTCGTTTTTTAACTTCCTCAAATGAGCCATCAACACTTAACTGTCGTTTGATTTGATTCATTGTTATCTAAAAAGAATTAAAGATTTTTGTATATGCGTTTATGTCTGAATTCAATCATATTTAGAGTGCGGGTGAGAATATGAATGGAGTACAAAACTCACACCCACCCCTCGTTTTCCTAATGATTTAAATGTAAAACTTACTCAAATGAAATGATTTGAAAAAATCGTAATAGTTTGTAAATTTCGGATGGTATTGCATGTGTGACTGAATGCTCTTCTCACGGAATAATGATTTTAGTTTGTTTTACAAAGCAAAAACATTTGTCACTTTTTTTCTTTTTTCTTCAACCACGCATTTTATTGCGAAAGAATGTGTAAAGATTGAAATGAAATAAATTTAAGTGCTGTGCAAATAAATAGTGATGATAGAAAACTGTATTCTTCATAATGAAAGATAGATAAGCCTTCGAAAAAAGAAACAAAAATCTGATAAATTAGAAGGAATTATGTTATTCATCTAAATAGATTTTATCGATAGTCGCAGATCGTCAATACCATATTGAGTATGAATATCTGATATATCATTAATCCACCCGTTCATTCATCTTCACCTACACTCTGTTTCTCGATTCTTTTTCTTTTCTTTTCAATATTAATAAAAGATTTAGAAGATCGGTCGATGTTTCATTGATCATAAGTCGAAATATTATTTTAATTAAACGATAGACATTGTACAAATCGATTCTGTATAACATTTGATTAGAATTTTGTGTTTCTTCAAAATATTTCAATATGAGATGTCGATGAACAAAGAAATCATGAAAAATAGTTTTTATTCTTATTCATTGTTAATAATTGATTTTGTTTTTCTTTACATTTTTCAGAGATTCGTCAGTAAGTAAAAAAGAATTGATGACGCACATTTATTCAGATGCCACTTTTATTTCAATTTCAATAATTAAATTTTTGTTGTTGATCGAATAAAATGTAAATGAAAATTGTGAACAAATTATAATTTTTTCTTCATGTATTGAGTTGAACAAATTATTAATTTCTATATAAAATAATATTCTCAGATTTAACATTATTTATTGTAAAGATTCACTTTTTTGTCATTGTTGAAAATTTGAATAAAAATTCTCTAAAATAATTCATTTTCTTCAAGTGGCATCATCAGTTTTGAATAGATAAAATATGTTGATTATTCGAACCATCTTGAGAGTGTAGGTAGTTAAAGAATAACCGTAAACCGACATTACCACCAGGAGATAAAATATATCACAAAAGATTTTTATCATTTTCATAGATTCAATCGCTTCCTATACTTATTTATTTACAAAACATTAAAAAAAATTAAACAATATTTATTTATCACTATATATTTTCTTTATAATGTTTCTAATGATAATTTTATATAAACTCATTCTATTTAAATATTTTTCATATTGAGAAATTCTGTTTAATTCGAATCAAATATTTCAAGTTCATTACATGATTCCATTTCGGGTACTATGATGTTGTTTAGGTGTTGCATTGAGCGATAAAGTCCTGTTGAAAATGGAGAAATCGTAGTTTTTTTGATTAAATGATCAAGAGAACCATTTGAAGCAGAACGTTGAATTGCGCCACCCTGTAGTATATATAATATAGCGATAAAAAATGATGAAAATATATATAAATTTTATTTTCTTCGTTGTTGTAATATACGTCGATCGTTGACGAAGAAGAAATCTACAAAAAAAATGACTTTCATGGTTGAAGACACACAGACATTGTTTTATTGCTCATATACAAGGACAGAGGGAAATTATTTCGTTGCTCGTAGAAAAGAACGGAAAAAATATTCGTTTGCTCTTAGAGAATAACACAGAGAGAAATTTTTATAGGGAATGAAATTTAAAGTATCATACAATGCATTTCGACTACGTTCTAAATCTAAAATTGTTACCACTTTTAAAATGAACGTCGCAACGGTGTTGAAATTATCAACTCATGATGACATTCAAAATTCGTAGAAATTGACATACATAAAGAATATGAATGATATATTTCAATTAATTAAAAATTAGAAATCTACTCTCATTTTTAATATCTTTATAACCATGAGCTATGAAAATCAATTGACATAGAAAAAATTAGATCAAAATAGAAAATAAAATAGTAAAACTGAGTGGGTGTATGTTAAAAAAATTTCCACATAGCTGGAGTAAATAAATTAAAGCAAAAAGTTCTTCTTATATTCTAATTTGTTCTTTTCCAATGATATTTATAAATTAAGAAGATCAATGTTACAGCCAAATATTTAAGGAACAGAAAAATGCACTACGACGACCGGACCTGAGATAATACGAGATATCTGCGTACATTGTTTCAGGCAACTGTTCCTTGTAATTTTTGAACAATTGTTCATCTTCCGTTTTTCTTTTATAGTAAAAATTGTTTGATAATTTTATCACCATTTTGAACCGTGATAGATCCAGAAAAGAATTTCGAAGAAATTGTAGAGACTCATTGAATGACATGAAATAATTACCAAATATTCGATAACTACCTTCAGTTTCCAATGTCTTCAAATTTGGAAACATTTTTGATAATTCAAACACAAATATCGAATTGTAACAGCTGTCATTGCGCTGCGGATCTATTTTTAAATGTAAAAAATGAATTCGTTTTCTCACTGGTATCATAATCATTTTATTCAATTCTTCTATCATATTTTCTGCATTTGTTTTCGTGGTTAAACTCAACCAATTTAAATTTGGTGATTGAGCTATAATTTTCGGTACGACTTGATATATGTCATCATGCTCGATCTCTTCGATTGCCCGTTCAAAATATATCTTTCGCAGATTCATAAGTTTTAGATCCGAAGATAACTTGAACCTAGTCAATAGCTCTTTACTACCAATGTGAATTGTGTGATACTTATACAAGCGTTTGAAAGTGAAACGTGAATCAAGGTCGAAACGTTCAGATACAGTGTCAAATGGTCGAGGTTTTGGAAATGTAAATAGGGAGTAGCTGGAATCTGGTAGTACTTTGAC